GCCTCTGTCTCCTTGCTTATGTTCTGTCTGGTTGATCTGTCTTTGGGAGTAAGTAGTGTGAAGTCCCAAAATGAATGTGTTGTGGTCTATTTCCCCCTTTAATTCTGTTAGTATTTGTTTTACATATTTAGGTGCTCCTATATTGGGTGTATAGATATTTATAATGGTTATTGTATCATCTTGCTGGACTGATCCCTTTGTCATTATGTAATGTCCTTCTTTGTCTCGTTACTTCCTTTACTTTGAAGTCTATTTTGTCTGATACAAGCACTGCAACTCCTGCTTTTTTCTATTAGTTGCATGAAATATCTTTTTCCATCCCTTCACTTTTATTCTGTGTATACCTTTGGGTTTGAAGTGAGTCTTTTGTAGGCAGCATATAGGGGTATTGTTTTTTTATCCAGTCAGTACCTCTTTTATGTTTTTTGATTGGTGCATTCAGTCCATTTACATTTAGGGTGATTATCAATAGATATGTACTTACTGACATTGCAGACTTTAGATTTGTGGTTGCCAAAGGTCAAGAGTAGCTTCTTTACTATCTAACAGTCTAACTTAACTCAGTACACTATTTCAAACACAATCTAAAGGTTCTTTTTTTCCTCCTCCACTCTTTATATATTAGCTGTCATATTCAGTACCCTTTGTGTATCCCTTGACTTTGTGCGTAGTTGATTTAATTTTGCATTTGCTTAGTAATTAATTGGTGTACTTCCTTTACTGTGGTTTTATTTTCTCTGGTGGTAGCTATGTAGCCTTAGGAGCATTTCTGTCTATATCTAAGTCCCTCCAAAATACACTGTACAGATTGTTTGTGGGAGGTAAATTTTCTCAACTTTTGCTTATCTGGAAATTGTTTAATCCCTGCTTCTAATTTAAATGATAATCTTCCCGGGTCAAGTAATCTTGGTTCAAGGCCCTTCTGTTTCATTGCATTGAATATATTATGCCACTCCTTTCTGGCCTGTAAGATTTTTGCTGAGAAGTCTGATAATAGCCTGATGGGTTTTCCTTTGTGTGTGATCTTTATTCTCTCTCTGGCTGCTTTTAATACTCTGTCCTTGTCTTTGATCTCTGCCATTTTCATTATTATATGTCTTGGTGTTGTCCTCCTTGGGTCCTTTGTGTTGGGGGATCTTTGCACTTCTGTGGTCTGAGAGACTATTTCCTTCCCCAGATTGGGGAAGTTTTCAGTAACTATTTCCTTAATATTTCCTTAATATTTCCTATTTTCTTAAAGACACTTTCTATACCTTTTTCTTTCTCTTCTGGTACCCCTATAATGTGAATATTGTTCTTTTTGGATTAGTCACAGTTCTCTTAATGTTCTTTCATTCCCAGAGATCCTTTTTTTCTCTGTTTGCCTCAGCTTCTTTGTATTCCTGTTCCCTAATTTCTATTTCATTTACTGTCTCCTTCACCTCTTCTAATCTTTTAAATCCCTCCATATGTTTCATTTCAGATACTGTATTTTTCAAAGTTTCTTTCTTGGAAGTCATCCCTGAGACCTTGAATATTTTTCTGTAGCTCTGTGAGCATGTTTATGATTTTTATTTTGAGATCTTCATCAGTAAGATTGGTGATTTCAGTTCAACTTGGCCCTCTTTCTGGTGTTTGAGGATTTTGGTTTGCACAAGGTTCTTTTGCCACTTCTCATTTGTAATGAATAATATGGAATAACAACTTTGTATAGGTGGTGCCCTCTAGTGCCCAGAGGCTCTACTCTCTGGTGCTGCCCAGCACCTGACCCCATGGAGGGGGTTGCAGGTGATCAGCACTCGTGCCTGCCAGGAGGAAAGAGCTCTTTCCTGCTTTCTGCCTGCAGTGCCTGCCTTCACTGCCAGGACCAGTTGGCCAAGCACACATGGAGCAGCCTCTATGTTATGCCCCTGCTGCTGTGGCAGGGCTGCCCTCTGACTGGCCTGGTGCAGTGGCGGGGGCTTCAGGTTTGACAACCAGTGATGGCCAGGAGGAAGGACCAGCAGGCTGTGTATTGCAGTGTGGGGCCTTGATGCTGTGCTGCCAGCCAGAGGGATGGAGTGCTGAAAGTTCCCAACCTGCTGGGCTGTGTGCCGGGATGATTTTGTCCACCTGTTCTTTCTCCTGAGCAGCAAACTTTGTGTAATCCTTGCCCCTTTAGCAGGCCTCTCACTATTATTGGGAGGTCTTTCAAAGTGCCCACCTTTCTTTTGTCCCAGAGTGGCCAGTTATGGGTACTTGCTCTCCACTAACAGCTGGAATCTGTCTCTCTGGGTATTCTGCCTGTCTTTGCTTTCCAACCCACTAATCTCTAGAGCACCATGTAATGTAGGTTTGTGCTCCTGGAGCAGATCTCCGAGGCTGGGTGCTCAGCAGTCCTAGGCTTCTACCCACTCCCCGCTCTGTTTCTCTTCCTCCAACTGGTAAGCCGGGGTAGGGGGAGGGCTTGGTCCCGCCGGATCATGGCTTTGCTACTTGACCCTTTTCCATGAGGTCTTCTCTTTTCCCCAGATGTAGGCTGTCTGTCAGTCTTCTTTCTGGTCGCTCTTTCAAGATTAGTTGTATTTGCTGTATTTTCGTATTATAAGTGGTTTGGGGAGGAGGTTTCTGTCTCACTTCTCAAGCTACCATCTTTAAGCCTCTGCCAAACCTTCACTCTTCTTATTCTTAACTGGTCTATCAGACAGCAGTTAAGTACAGGTAGTAATAGCAACAGTGAAGTCCACGGTTATAGCTTATGGAGAGGTAAAGTGAAAGCCAGCACCCATACAAAGAATGGGGACAGTAATTAGGGTTATTTCATTATCTGAAGGCACTCACCCTACACGTGAAATAGTGTATTATTACTTGAAAGTGGACTTGGATTAACTATAAATGTATTGCAAACTGTAGAGCAATCGCTAAAAAAACAAAAAAAGAAATGTAACTGATATTCTAAGAAAACAGACAAAATAGAATCATATAACATGCTCAACTAAAACCACAAAAAGCAGGAAGACTGGAAGACAAAAAAAGGAACAAAGACTTAACAGCAAGAAATAGAAAATAGTAACAAATATGGCAGACATTAATCTAACTATATCAATAATTACTTTGAGCATCAGTGTTCTGAAGCATCAATTAAAAGAAAGATTGTCAGAGTGGATCAAAAAACAAGACTCACCTACATGTTGTCTACCAGTAACCCACTTTAAAGACATATACAGATTGACAGTAAATGGATAGAGAATAATATGCAATGTTAACAGCAATCAAAAGAAAGCAGGAGTAGCTGTATTAATTTCAGACAGAGCAGACTTCAAAGCAAGGGAAATTATCATGGATAAAGAGGGGCAGCACATAATGATAAAGTGGTCAATTCCCCAAGAAAACATGACAATTAGTAACATATATGTACCTAACAACAGGGCACCAAACTGTGAGGCAAAAAGTGATCAAATTGCAAGGAGAAATGGATGAACCCACTGTCAGAGCTGGAGACTCCGACAGCCCTCTATCAGCAAAGGACAGACCCAGCAGACAGAAAATCAGTAAGGAACACAGCTGGACTGAACACCATCGATCACCTAGATATGACTGACACCTACAGACTTCACCCAACAGCAGCAGAATGCACATTCTTCCCAAGCTCACATGGAACATTCAGCATCACCAAGAGGGACCACATTCTGGGGCAAGAACACACCTTAACAAATTATAACAGAAATAATACCATATCTGCTCCCAGACCACAATGGAAGTAAACTAAAAATCACTAACAGAGAGATAACTAGAAAACCCCAAAATAGTGGAGATTAAACAACACATTTCTAAGTAACACATGGTTCAAAGTGGAAATCTCAAGAGAAAAAAAAATATTTTGAAGTATATGAAAATGAGAATCAACTTGTTAAAATTTGTGGGATGCAGCAAAAGCAGGGCCTTAGAAGGAAATTTATAGTTAGGAAACTAGAAAAAGGAAAACAGACTGTAAGTCCAAAGCAAGCAAAAGAAAAGAAATAATAAGAATTAGAGCAGTAATCAAGGAAATGAGAAAGAAGAGAATAGAGAAAATCATAGACATTTAAAAGACAATAAAGAAGTACTGTTAACAATTTTATATCTACGGATTGACCTACATGAAATGGACCAAGTTCTTGAAAGACACAATCTGCCAAAACTCACACAAGAAATAGATGATTTTAATAGGTCTGTATCTATTAAGGAAATTGAATCAGTAATTTAAAAATCTTCCAAAACAGAAAGCCTCAAGCACAGAAGGGTTCAGTGATCAATTCTACCAAACATTTGAGGAAGAAATTACACCAATTCTCTGTAATGTCTTCCAGAAGGCAGCAGCAGTGAGAACACTTCCCAACTCATTCTATGGGGCCAGCATTGCCCTGATACCAAAATCAGACAGACTTAAGAAAACCTCACATCTCTCTCATGAAAATGGATGAAAAAATCCTCCACAAAATATTAGCAAATTGAACTCAACAATGTTTAAAAAGGATTACACACCACAAATGTGGATGGTTTATTCCACATATGCAAGGCTGGTTCAACACTTGAAAATCAATGTAATCCATTACATCAACACGCTGAAGAAAAGTCACATGATCACATTAACAGATGCAGAAAAAGCATTTGAGACCCTCCAATACAAATTTATGATTAAAAACTCCTGGGAAACTCGAATTAAAAGGAAACTTCCTGAACTTGATAAAGGGCATCTACAAAAACCTACAGCTCTCATACTCTGATAAACACAAAGCTTTCCCAACCAAGATCAGGAACAGGGCAAGGTGTCCCCTCTGAAAGACTCCTTTTCAACCCTGTGCTGGAAGTCCCAGTTAATGCAATAAAGCAAGAAAAGGAAATAAAAGGTATATGATCCATGAAAGAAAGAATTGGTAATTTGGGCTAAAATTAAAAACATGTGTTCTACAGAAGACACTGCCAAGAGAACAAGAAGACAAGCCACTGACTGGGAAAAGTACTTGCAGAAGAGAGATCTGAGAAAGGACTGTTTTCTAAAATATAAAAAGCATTCTTTTATTACTGAGGTAAAACTGACATACAATACTGTATTGATTTCAGGTGTGCAGCAGTGATTCAGCATTTGGACACATGCACACACTGCAAAGTAGTCACCACAATAAGCCATTAGATGTCATCTGCACAATGTCAGTTAATAACACACTGTTGAATAAGTTCAAGGAACTCTTTTAAAACTCAGGAGAAAAAGAACCACAGATAGAAAATGGGTGAAAGATCTGAAAAGACACCTTATCAAAACATACATACCAATGGCAAATGAGCATGTGGAAAGATGTTCCACATTTCATCAGGGAAACACAAATTAGAAGAGCAAAATACCATTGCACACCCATTAGAATGGGTGAAAATCCAAACACTGACACCACCAAATGCTGGTGAGGATGTGGATCAACAGGAACTCTCATCATTGCTGGTGGGGATGCAGCATGGCACTGCCACTCTGGAAGACAGTTCAGTGGTTTCTGACAAAACTTGACATACTTTTACCATATGATCCAGCAACCACACTCTTAAGATTTACCCAGAGTTGAAACTTATCTCCACTCAAAAACCTGCACCCAGATGTTCACAGCAGCTTTATTCATCATCGCCAAAACCTGAAAGCAACCAGGATGTCCTTCAGTAGGTGATGGGTAAGTAAACTGTGGTCCACACAGACAATGGAATAGTCTTCAGCGCTAAAAAGAAATGAGCTACCAAGTCATGAAAAGAGACTTCCTGCAGGAAAAGGAAGTGGAAGAAGGGCAGGTTGCACCCAGTGGTGGGGGCAGGCGAGGGAGGAGGCTTGGACCTGGGCTGAGGGTGGCACTGGGATGGGCGCTTCATGGCCCCACACCTCCCCCCGACCCAGCCCTGGGGAGACTGAGGTTCACAAGGAGGATGGCATCTTCCCTCCTGGAGCTCTCGGTGCATGTGGAGGGCAGAGGACAAGCCAGGGATACGCATGCACACACACATGCAGTCAGACAGCAGGCCAGGAGTACCTCCGTGGCTGGAGTGTGCAGGAAGTCCCCTGGGGAGAGGCGCTGAAGCAAGTAGCTAGGGGGTGGGGGTGGCAGCCAGACAGGAAGGTACAGGAAAAGGGTCCAGGAGGGCTTCTGGAAGCTGACATCCCTACCCTGGTGGTGCCTGCAGGAGAGGCTCAGGGAAGACAGGCCAAACCCCTAGAGGCTGCTCCAGACCCAAGGTGGTGCCCCAGGGCAGGGCCCAAGCCACAGGCGTGCTCTAGGGCCTGGCCTCCCAACAAGGAGCTTTCAAGGACCCACCACCCTGCCCTTGCTGCAGGCCAGCTCATCACCCCTGCCCCTGCTGCCCCACCTCAGGCTGCCCTTGAACTTGTTAGCCACTCCCCCTAGGCCTCTGCACTGACCACTCCTGTCTGGAGCATTTCTCACACACAGCCACCCACACACATCCATGATGCCAGGCTCTGGGACAGCGCCTGCCTGAATTCCCTCTAGTTTCAGCCTGCCAGGTGCCTTCCCAGGCTTCCCAATGTTTCAGCCTAGTGCCAGTCTTTCTGCCTGCACCCAAGTTCAGCCTTACAGCTCAGGGGAGTAGGGACCCTGACCCACAGCTACTACAAGGGTCAAACGGGCTGATAAAAGTGTCACCAGACACTAGCACCCAGAGCCATGCCTTTCACTACCGCAGCAGGATTTTAGGAGGGCAGGGCACCCCACGAGCCCCTCTGAATCAGGCAGGCAACACCTCACCTGGAGAAGGTACAGGATGGACGGGGAACTGTATGAATAGTAGGTGACCACACACTTCCCTCGGGTGTTTGTAAGCTCTCCCTTCCATCTGGTCACCTGCTCTTTGGCTGGGTGAAGTCCAATCAAGAGACGGTGACATCCTGGTGGCCCATGGTTTCCCGGGTTTGTTCTCAGGCACATTAAGTCCCACAGAAGCTAAGACTGCCCAAACCACGTGGGGACCCCTAAGTGGGCAGAGGTGGGGGGCTGCCCCGCACAGGGCTCAGTATGTGGATGCCATGGCTGTGTGGTGGTGTGTCCCAATCTGCCCTGCAGGCACGCTCCCCCAACCCCCAGCATTTCCAGAAGAGGCAAATCAAACTGCAAGGCAGATGGATTCACAGACGCTGATACCACGTGGGCTTCTGGTCCAAACATGCGCCTGACACTGCACATCACACAGCAGTGTGTCTTCAAGACCCGTAGAGGGCGGCAAGGGGATCTCTAGGGAGCCCAGGCAGTCTGCTGTCAGGTACTATGGGGAACAAAGAGAGTAGGAGCCATTCAACAGGCTTGTAAGCAGAGCACGTACATGCTCCAAGACACCACAGGGCCCCCACCACAGAGGATCGCCAGAATATATACAAGAGACATGCCAAAGTGGGTCGGCCTCGGAGCCCGGGAAGATGACAGGAGAGTCCTGGGAAACACTGCCTACACCAGCGTGGGAGGAATGAGACAAAGGCCCACAGGCCCATGTGCATGCAGGCTGCAGGGCCGCCACCTGCTCGGGCACTGCTGCTGGGGGCACACTTGGGAAAACCAGGACACCACCTACTAAATTGAAGAGAACACCCCACAACCCAGCAGCCCCGGCGGACACTGACAGATGCTGTGGCCATAGGCCACAACTCCTCCTGGAACTCTGGGAAGGGCACGAGCGTGGGGACACCCGCCTGGGAACACTTCCTGAAGGAAGAGCAGCGCTGCATGGGCAGCCTGTACACAGAGCCCAGGGGTGCCGCAGCCTGTGTGGGCCCCACCCGGGACAGGCTCTGGGGGCTGCGGTCCCTGCGCCTGTGCACTGGCCCCATGGGCATGCTCACTGCGGGCACTCATGAGGTGCCTGCCCATGACCTGTGCACTCCATGTGCGCATCCATTAGTAACCAGCCTTCTTGGGGAGAAGATGCTGGCCTGCAGCCTGGCCTGACGAGCCCTGCATCTGCACAGGCAAGGGCAGTCCTGGCGGGGGTGCCCAGGGCCCTCCTGCCCCATGGCCCAGCTTCGCGAAAGACCAGCTAGCAGAGGATGGAATTCCGTAGAGGAAGGACCCGACAGGCCAGAGGATGGCAAGCTGAGGGGACCAGGTGGGCACAGTTATCGGGCATTCCTGGCCCTTCCCCAGGCCCTGCCTGGCAGCATGGCGGGTGGGGGATCAGCATCTCTGCCCACTCCCAGCCAGTACTGGCAGTTCAGCACGAACTGAACCAAACCAATCAGCCCAGCCATGTCCACCTGGGCAGCTCTCCAGAAGCCAAACAACATACAGGTGCCACAGCACCCAGTCACGCACAGACCAGGGCATGCGCCTCCTGGGAGAAGCCTGGGGCTCCCTTGCCACCCTGGCTGCTTCCCTGGCAGCTTGCTCACCACGGGCCACGTTCCCCTGGGGAGAGGCGCTGAAGCAAGTAGCTAGGGGGTGGGGGTGGCAGCCAGACAGGAAGGTACAGGAAAAGGGTCCAGGAGGGCTTCTGGAAGCTGACATCCCTACCCTGGTGGTGCCTGCAGGAGAGGCTCAGGGAAGACAGGCCAAACCCCTAGAGGCTGCTCCAGACCCAAGGTGGTGCCCCAGGGCAGGGCCCAAGCCACAGGCGTGCTCTAGGGCCTGGCCTCCCAACAAGGAGCTTTCAAGGACCCACCACCCTGCCCTTGCTGCAGGCCAGCTCATCACCCCTGCCCCTGCTGCCCCACCTCAGGCTGCCCTTGAACTTGTTAGCCACTCCCCCTAGGCCTCTGCACTGACCACTCCTGTCTGGAGCATTTCTCACACACAGCCACCCACACACATCCATGATGCCAGGCTCTGGGACAGCGCCTGCCTGAATTCCCTCTAGTTTCAGCCTGCCAGGTGCCTTCCCAGGCTTCCCAATGTTTCAGCCTAGTGCCAGTCTTTCTGCCTGCACCCAAGTTCAGCCTTACAGCTCAGGGGAGTAGGGACCCTGACCCACAGCTACTACAAGGGTCAAACGGGCTGATAAAAGTGTCACCAGACACTAGCACCCAGAGCCATGCCTTTCACTACCGCAGCAGGATTTTAGGAGGGCAGGGCACCCCACGAGCCCCTCTGAATCAGGCAGGCAACACCTCACCTGGAGAAGGTACAGGATGGACGGGGAACTGTATGAATAGTAGGTGACCACACACTTCCCTCGGGTGTTTGTAAGCTCTCCCTTCCATCTGGTCACCTGCTCTTTGGCTGGGTGAAGTCCAATCAAGAGACGGTGACATCCTGGTGGCCCATGGTTTCCCGGGTTTGTTCTCAGGCACATTAAGTCCCACAGAAGCTAAGACTGCCCAAACCACGTGGGGACCCCTAAGTGGGCAGAGGTGGGGGGCTGCCCCGCACAGGGCTCAGTATGTGGATGCCATGGCTGTGTGGTGGTGTGTCCCAATCTGCCCTGCAGGCACGCTCCCCCAACCCCCAGCATTTCCAGAAGAGGCAAATCAAACTGCAAGGCAGATGGATTCACAGACGCTGATACCACGTGGGCTTCTGGTCCAAACATGCGCCTGACACTGCACATCACACAGCAGTGTGTCTTCAAGACCCGTAGAGGGCGGCAAGGGGATCTCTAGGGAGCCCAGGCAGTCTGCTGTCAGGTACTATGGGGAACAAAGAGAGTAGGAGCCATTCAACAGGCTTGTAAGCAGAGCACGTACATGCTCCAAGACACCACAGGGCCCCCACCACAGAGGATCGCCAGAATATATACAAGAGACATGCCAAAGTGGGTCGGCCTCGGAGCCCGGGAAGATGACAGGAGAGTCCTGGGAAACACTGCCTACACCAGCGTGGGAGGAATGAGACAAAGGCCCACAGGCCCATGTGCATGCAGGCTGCAGGGCCGCCACCTGCTCGGGCACTGCTGCTGGGGGCACACTTGGGAAAACCAGGACACCACCTACTAAATTGAAGAGAACACCCCACAACCCAGCAGCCCCGGCGGACACTGACAGATGCTGTGGCCATAGGCCACAACTCCTCCTGGAACTCTGGGAAGGGCACGAGCGTGGGGACACCCGCCTGGGAACACTTCCTGAAGGAAGAGCAGCGCTGCATGGGCAGCCTGTACACAGAGCCCAGGGGTGCCGCAGCCTGTGTGGGCCCCACCCGGGACAGGCTCTGGGGGCTGCGGTCCCTGCGCCTGTGCACTGGCCCCATGGGCATGCTCACTGCGGGCACTCATGAGGTGCCTGCCCATGACCTGTGCACTCCATGTGCGCATCCATTAGTAACCAGCCTTCTTGGGGAGAAGATGCTGGCCTGCAGCCTGGCCTGACGAGCCCTGCATCTGCACAGGCAAGGGCAGTCCTGGCGGGGGTGCCCAGGGCCCTCCTGCCCCATGGCCCAGCTTCGCGAAAGACCAGCTAGCAGAGGATGGAATTCCGTAGAGGAAGGACCCGACAGGCCAGAGGATGGCAAGCTGAGGGGACCAGGTGGGCACAGTTATCGGGCATTCCTGGCCCTTCCCCAGGCCCTGCCTGGCAGCATGGCGGGTGGGGGATCAGCATCTCTGCCCACTTCCAGCCAGTACTGGCAGTTCAGCACGAACTGAACCAAACCAATCAGCCCAGCCATGTCCACCTGGGCAGCTCTCCAGAAGCCAAACAACATACAGGTGCCACAGCACCCAGTCACGCACAGACCAGGGCATGCGCCTCCTGGGAGAAGCCTGGGGCTCCCTTGCCACCCTGGCTGCTTCCCTGGCAGCTTGCTCACCACGGGCCACGCCAGCCAGTGCCATGCTGACACTCTGCTGCTGATCCTTGGGCAGCTGCTCCTCACAGCCTGGGCCAGGCCGATGCTACCCAGCAGGTCAACCACACAGGTCAAGGGTTGGCAATTTCCCCTTGCCCCTAAAAACCGAGCAAGCTGGGCTAACTCAAGGAGCCTCATTTACATGCTCGTTTGCCAGTTTCAGAGGGCGGTGTCCGTGCTAGGGATGCCTGCAGAGAAATCCTGTTATTGTTTTAATTAGCACATACTTACTCCAGGATTGATCTTAAATGACCAATAAGCGTAGTATTTTGTTTCCTGATTTATTAATTTGCAAACTTAAGAAAAAAATTTTCCTTCCAAGTATTGCGAAGCAAGCCAAACCTATCACAGAATCTCTCTCCATGAAAGACGTGACTGGCTTGTCACCCTCAGTTCATGCAAGACAGATGGCCCTACAGGTGGAGGGTAGATGCCAGCCGCTCCCTGCTCTCTGGGAAGGAGGTCAAGCTGCGGGGGCCATGAACCATCTCTCACACCCAGCTGCCCTGGCCCCTAATGTGCCACGAGCTCACTTTAGCTGAAAAGGCCTACAGATTTACGCAGAGAAGTCAAGTCCTGCCATGTTTCAAGCAGGACTGGAACGCAGGCCACCAGTGCCGCCTGGCACCACACTGCGTCACTTTCTGGCAAGTTCCAGCACCTTCTTCACCATGGCCCCGATCCCCTCATGGACGTGATGCAGTGCTGTCTCGCACATGAAGGCCGGGGTCGTGACCACCTTGTTCTTCTGGTCCACATGGGCTTCGTGCATGGAAGTCATGGAAAAACGTGGCTTGGGGAGGACAAGGGGGGTCCGGGCAACACACCCACCCTGGCCACTGCTCCCGGGCTGCCCTAGAGTACCCCTCCTTCCTACTCAGGGCACCTCAGGGTAGGGACTATCCTGGAGTGTCCTGGCCAACAGCGCCTGGTTCCATATGCTCTGTGCCGACTAAAGACCATGGGCCTAGTTCCTGTACCACCTCAGCCAAGTGGGTGTCCCCCTCACAAAATGCTTCATAGTGGGTGCTACACAGCACAACCCATGCCTGCAAGCACCAGCTCAGAGCCCATGGCAACCAGGGGGCAGCGGCAGCCAGGCACCTCCCTCTGGAAACCTGAGAACATGTCTCTGTGACAGCAGAGGCCGGCTCGACCCAGGACGTGCCCCACACAGATGGGGGCACAGGCACGGCCGACAGAACTGGCCTCCTCCTTGTCAGCCAGGTGGCCCTGCTTAGCTCTGGGCCTGGAGTGTGCTGAGCTCAGCCAGTACCCACGGAGCTGATGGGCAGAAGTCACACCACAGCCCGAGGCGCCCCCCAGTAGCGCAGTTCCTGGTTGAAGAGGCTGCCTGCCCAGGGCAGCCATGGAGGGCTAGAGGGCTGCCCCAGCGCCACCTAACGGCCCGATGCCAGAAAGGATATGGTCACCTCCTTCACACAGTGCTTGGCACCCAAGGCTTTGATGACTTCCGCGGTCCCAGCATAGGGCCACTTGCCGTCTTCCTCCTGCTCGTGGCCCACGGTGACCTCGACGCCACCAAGTACTTTGGCCGCAAGGACGGGCGCGATACAGCACAAGCTGAGAGGGGAGAGGCGGTGTCGGCTCAGGCTGTGCAGTCACAGGGGTGGGGGGCAGGGCCGCAGTGCAGCAGCCTGAAGCACACGATCAACCCTGAAACGACTGGGTGTAGGGACAAAGGACGCTGGCTCCAAGGTGGAACTGGCCCCTGGGGTCATGAATGCCATGCACCCTCAGCTTGCTTTGCTACCAGATGGAGTCTCCAGGCACCCAGGTGCCAGGCCCAGATGGCAGGGGTAGGCAGCCACATGAGGAGCTGGGCCCTGGCTGCACCTTATGTGGTATCCAGACACAGGTTGGCTACCTACAGGGAAGGCAACACACGGTGTGGTGGCTGAGGCCCAGGTTTTGGGGTGGCTTGTCACGCAGCAACAGATCACAGCCATACTGACCATGATGAAGGGGCACGAAAGGCCAGGGACACAGCTCAACCAGCAGCCCTGACTGCAGAAGCAAGGGGACACATGCCTGCTGGCCCCACACGCAGGATGCCGAGCCTCAGGGCCACGGGGCCGACAGCTGCCCTCGGGGCTATGAGGTTGTTTTTCACCAGGAGGCCTCGGGACCAGCGGCGCCTGGGCCAGTCAGGTCAGCCAACACGAGGCCCCAGCCCTGCTCCCCGCGCCTCACTCCTGCCCTCCTCTGGCTCCAGTGGCCTTACTGGCTGCCTTTCCAGGCCCTGTGCTGAAGCTGCTGGAATACGCCACGGTAAAATACGATTAAGATGTATTTACGTACTTTTTAAATGTCACAGCAACTGAAATAACTTCTGTTCAGAACCCTGACGTAAAACCCCAACCACTGAACTGCAGCTGATGTCCCAGGAGTATCCTGTCAGGGAGCTGCAGAGGCCCTGGCAGTCCTGCTCAGGATGCCCAGAAGCACATGCTGTGGTGCAGGGCGCAGACGCAGGCTGATGCCGGTGCTTGCGTGGAGGCACCTGCCAGCACTGTGCACCGTGTGGGGACAAGCAGGCAGGCAGCCAGCCTGCTGGACCCTCTCCATCCATACTCGTGGTGAGCAGGCCAGGCAGCATGGGATTGCTTGGGAAGGGGCACCCAACGTGTGCTGACCTGCAGAGGGCATTTCATGTGTGACTGGACAGCACTACTGCTTTCTGGAGAAGAGGGCCAAGGAATCTGCCAAGGGCGTGCCAAACGGAGCTTCCAAAGACAGGGCAGCATCGACGCCCCTGCCCAACCAGGGCAACACTGTAGCCCGACTCAGCCAGGGCGGCCATTTATGTGAGTGGGCATGTCGCCAGTAAAGTAGATAGTCACAAAGGGCACCAGGTCCCTCCCGGGTGCTTGCCTGCAAAAACTGGAGCTGTTCCAGTGACAGCACCCTGGGAGGTGGGGGGCTTGCGGCACCATCCCTTCCGGGCAGGTCTGGTCCAAGAAGATGCAGGTAGAAGGTGGCACATGCTGCCAGGCTGACACTGCTTGTGACAAAGGGGGCTCCCAAGCTGGGCAGGGCATCTGATGAGTGGCTAAGGGTCTGTGACAGACCCAACCTCCTTGGCTGCTGTGTTCTGCTGCAGAGGCCCTGGCAGTCCTGCTCAGGATGCCCAGAAGCACATGCTGTGGTGCAGGGCGCAGACGCAGGCTGATGCCGGTGCTTGCGTGGAGGCACCTGCCAGCACTGTGCACCGTGTGGGGACAAGCAGGCAGGCAGCCAGCCTGCTGGACCCTCTCCATCCATACTCGTGGTGAGCAGGCCAGGCAGCATGGGATTGCTTGGGAAGGGGCACCCAACGTGTGCTGACCTGCAGAGGGCATTTCATGTGTGACTGGACAGCACTACTGCTTTCTGGAGAAGAGGGCCAAGGAATCTGCCAAGGGCGTGCCAAACGGAGCTTCCAAAGACAGGGCAGCATCGACGCCCCTGCCCAACCAGGGCAACACTGTAGCCCGACTCAGCCAGGGCGGCCATTTATGTGAGTGGGCATGTCGCCAGTAAAGTAGATAGTCACAAAGGGCACCAGGTCCCTCCCGGGTGCTTGCCTGCAAAAACTGGAGCTGTTCCAGTGACAGCACCCTGGGAGGTGGGGGGCTTGCGGCACCATCCCTTCCGGGCAGGTCTGGTCCAAGAAGATGCAGGTAGAAGGTGGCACATGCTGCCAGGCTGACACTGCTTGTGACAAAGGGGGCTCCCAAGCTGGGCAGGGCATCTGATGAGTGGCTAAGGGTCTGTGACAGACCCAACCTCCTTGGCTGCTGTGTTCTGTTCAGATGGAGGGTTCTAGAGCGACCTGGGTATGTTGGCTCACCAGTGACGCGGGAGCCAGCAGCTGTCAGGTGGAGGTTGGGAGGCCTTGAGTCTGCAACCCTGTGAGTTCAGCTCCAGTGCATCTGCACAGCTGTGCTCTGAGACAGCTTCTACCACCAGTGAGACTCCAAGGTGTGCAATGCACGTGCTCAGTGCCCCATGGGCCCACTGTGCAGTGTTGAGGCAGGACCGAGGAACAACTGCTGGAATGCTGGTGGAATGGATCTGACGGCGGTGCCAGCACCTGCCCCCGGGGAACCACTCCTGGTGGCAGGCACAGCTGGCCTCACCCACCTGCTGGGACTGCCGGGACCCAGGACCACAGGCTGTGATGGGAGTAACTGCTGTGCCGAGTTTGGGAGCGCAGAGGAACGTGAGGCTGCTGCCCGGGGCCACCTCAGACCAGTCCTCGGGGAGGGGCTCCCAGAGGAAGCTCAGGAGTGGGGCTCATGGCAGCAACCCAGAAAAGAAGTGCCTCTGCCGAGCCTAGATGTGGGTGGGGCCCACGAGGAAGGGATGCTAAGTAAGGCGGAGGGTTGGGGAGCACTGACTGAAGCGCCTCCAGGAAGCTGACAGGATCACCCCCTCCCCCTCGCTAGGCCATCAGCGGACATTACGACCACAGGCCCACAGAACGCTCAGAGCCAGAAGGCACGTATGAGGCCCCGGAAAACCCCTAGGTGACATGAGAACAGGGACCAGTTTTGAAGACCACTGCGCCCTGCCTGCCGCCCTCTGTGGCCCCACACGCACCCAATGGGCTTCCCAGCCTGGTGGAACTCCTTCAGGACGCGCTCCACGTCTCTGTGGACTGTGCAGTCTTTTCCGTGTATGGCGAACGTGCTCCTGCCATGAGAGGGGAGGCTTCCTTAGCTCTCAGTGGGCCTGGCCCCCAAGAGCCCACATGCGGTTCCATCCACTCCTCAGGAAGTCATCACATGCAAGTGTGCACATACGTGTGTGTGGCTATTCATATAATTATATGTTCCTGTACCTTCCCATTTTTTAAACAGAAAGATGCTGAGTAATAAGGGGGAGGGAGGGTGGAGGTGGACAGAACAGACACAGTGGTGCTTGGTAAACCCAGGAACCGCAAGCAAGCACGCGGCCCAAGACCAGCGATGGTCACTCGCTAAGAAGGAAGAGAAATGCATTTTGTTCCCCAGAGCTGGAGCCCTGGGGTGTCATTAAGGGGCACACATGCCAGCACCGTCTCTGTGGAAGGCAGGCCCATGAGGCCATCAAAGGCCAAAGGGCACGCCTCTGCCCACAGCCTCACCTGGGCTGCCCCTGCTGTTTATGGGCGGGACTATCCTGGGGCATCTGCTGAGCATGGTGCATGAGGAACCAGAAAACTGGGGCAATGGAGGGTCGCCACCTGATGTGGAGATGGGTGCTCGGGGTGTGCACGTGTGTCAGACGTCACATCTTACACCTCAAATGCATGTGTCAGTTACAGCTCCAAAAAACCATCAAGACAAGAGCAGGCTGGAAATCACCAGTGCCCGTCAGGGTCAGGCCATCCACCAGATGGGATCTGTGCACACAGCTGTGGGGCCGGCCAGCGGACCAGCAACAATCCGCTTGGTTGCAAACACGCAGTGCAGAACTGAGCTGGAGAGGCTATCCCTGTGCTACACACAAGCTGCTCACAGTGCCAAGGAGAGCCTGAGCCCCTACACAGGAGGAAGGGGTCACCACGCTGCCCCTTAATGATCACAGCAGCCCTGCTCAGGGGACCGCTGTCTCGGGAACTGGCCCTCCTCCTGGAAAGGTCAGGAAGAATGGGGCCAGCGGCCACCAGTAGCAGCTTCCCCCAGGGATCCTGAAGCCTACAGCATCCTCTATAGGGGAGACATGGACACACCAAGAGCTGGCTCAGCTCCTAAGTCAGCCAAGTGCAGGTGTGGGGGACACAACCCAACAGATCCCCCAACGGCCTTCACCTAGGGGGAGGCGCTAATGGTCACAGCAGAGGTACAGCACTTAGTGAACCCATCTCATGCTTTCAAGAAACCCTGTCCCATCGGAGGTCAAAGTCCAGCAGACCCCTTTCTGTCACTTCCTGCCAAGAGGCATGTGAAGGTGGTGCCAAGGGGAGAGGCCTCAGAAGGCCAGGTTTCAGGAGCACAGCTGGAAAAATGGGGTGGCTCTGCAGAGAGGAGGTGCTGCAGTCTGCAGGCAGAGGGGAACCTCCAAAGGTCAAAATACAGAAGGGCTGTGCACAGTGGGACACTGGGGAACTTAACGCCTCCCTCTGGGTACAGGGCACCCCGACAGAGCCAGCCAGGAGGGACGGCACCATTCCATCTCGTGTCCTGACCATAAAGGGTCCACAGGGGCTAGGCACAGGTCAGAGGCGTAGCTTTAAATGTCAACATGACATTCCCGTGTGACTCTTGGGCAAGCAGCTGGAAATGCAGGTCAGAAAGGGGGTGGGTGGTGCTCCAGACCTCAGCGGTGAAAGGTGAAGCTCATGCAGGTGAGCCTCAGGGGGCAAAGGCGGTGCACGGGGAGGGGCCTGACAGAACAGCAGCGACCCTAACAGTGCTCGCAGGACTTGAACGCAACCCCATGGGGCCTGAGATGACGGGATTATGGGACCCTTCAGAAGAAGACACCAACGGCTCAGCGAGGAGGAACCACAAAGGACGAAGGGCAAGGGGAGAGCCTCATTTCTGCAGCAGTGCCCCGAGAAGCAGGCAGATGGGGGGCAAGGAGGCAAAGGGCCAGCACAGGCAGTCCAGGCCACACAACCCTCACAATGGCCCCGCCAGCAGGTGGCAAGCCCTGGGGCTGGATGTCCACAGCCAGGTATTTGTCACCAGAGGCCCTGGGCCTGGGTCAGAGGAATGCTCTCATCCTCGTCCCAGGAAAACGCTCCTTCCAGGGCCCGTCTGCTCATCTGCTGTATCTCCATCACAACCCATGAAGCTTGGCTGTCAGACATGCTGTACCATGTGTTCAAGCACCCAAAACAGTCAGGCACAGCTGCTTCCCATCTCCTGCACCAGGACAGCTGTGCGGGACCCCCATCACCTGAGCAGAGGCCCCTGCCCGCCTCCGGAGGGATGTGCTGGGACAGGGACAGCACAGACGCATTCCTGAGACACACAGCGAGACAGAGCAACAAGAGAGAGCAGATCCAAGACCAGAGGACAAGGGCACTGTAGTGTCTCGGCGCCATGGGACTGGCAAGGCTGTGCTGCTAACTCTCAGGCCCAAAGCCCAATCACCATAGCAACACCCACAAGCAAAGAAAGAATGGGCCCATGTCCTGGAGGACCCTTACCCAACAACCTAACAGAAAAGCAGGTCCCTGTGCTGCGAGGAGTGTGTGGGAGACGGTATGGATGTGAGCAGACCTCCGGCGAGACCACCTCAGAGGGTGACTGCGGACCAAGCAGAAGGCAGAGAAACCACACATCTTGCTAAAATGTGACCTGAGCCCCATCCTACAGCAGTTCCACCCCAGAGCAGCTATGTGCGTCAAGAAGCAGAGATCCCCAACAGCAGCCAGGTGTCCAACCCGGCCCACCCACACCCCAGGTGCTGCGGGAGAGAGCCCAGAGCTCTGACACGCACAAGTTCTTGGCAGCTCCAAAGCCTCCAGGGAAGATGGCAGCATCGTGGTCGGCCGTGCGGAGCTTGGCCAGGTCGGTGATCTTGCCACGGGCAATCCTGGCTGACTCAGTCAGAACGTTCCTGGGAAAGGAGAGACCACAGAAAGATTCAGCGTGCAGCCAGGAGCAGGGCAGGCGGAACCAAGCAACCAAGGCCCCAGGGAGGCACATGTGCTGCCTATAAGAGGGAGAGCAACCCACACCTGTGCAGCCCCTGGAGCCCTCTCAGGTCGGCAACTCAGAACCCAAGCCGAATTGTCAGGGACTTCCTGTCAGCCAGGGACCCCAGGAAGATAGGCACCCCTCCGGGTACTGGTGACAGACAGCAACTGTGCAGCAGTGCACACGACGAGCGGAGCTACAGCCTAAGCCACAGAGCCTGGGACCAGGGACCCAGGCAGGGAAAGAGGCATAGGGATCCTGTCTGGGGGATCCACAGCCCCCAGGAGACAGAGCTGTGGATCCCCCCTGGCCCACCTTGCACCGAACCTCGCTGGAAGGTGCCTGGGAACCTCAGCCCCAAGCTGTTGCCCTGCAGTAGAACGGGACAGGGGAGACATGGGGCTCTGAGCACACCAGGCCAGGCCTGAGCACCCAGAGCTGGGTCTGGGGGCCCCCCTCACAGCCACCTGGGGCTCAAACAGGTGAACGAGGGGGCCAGACTGAGCTGTCCGCCTTCACTCAAAACCAAGGACAAGGTGCCTACTCGGAATCCTGTCACCGCCTCAGTAAGCCCCATGAGGCGAGAAACAACTCCCAGGTTTGCAGCGTTAGGTCCGCCTGAGGACTGTACTTGGAGAGACGCTCAGCCTGGCTCCCAGCTCCAGAGAAGTGGCGGTGCGCACAGCTTCTTGAGCGACTACCCTCCGTGACCACATCTGACCACCAGGGTAGGCAAGACTCACCTGGTTTCAGTCTCAGAAGGCTGCCCCTTGGTGTGGTCGACTACATGCATCTGAGGGATGTCAGGAGCAAAGATCTGGACCTCAGCCCCACCACGGCTCAGGTGAACCAGCACCCTGACCGGGACAAAATCAGACAAGACTGAGACTACCCAACCCAGCTTTACCCGTTACCATGTTTTTGAAAACAGGAGTTTTTTAGCTGACTGCTTTATAAGACAAACATAAAACCTCGTATATACTCACATCCTAACTGCTTTACGAAAAGTTAAGGTTAGCTTGCGGACAATCCAAATTCAGTATCACTGAACTAACTTAAGGAGACCAGCCAGTCCCCAAGCCCCCTTTCCAATCCAGGGTGCTGGGGTCGGGTGACCCAGCTGGTGTCACAGCCTGAACATGTAGGCCCAAGCCTCCAACATTTGAGGGAGCTTTTCTCGACGACAGGAAGTTTAACCCCTGATCTCTCGCAACTTTCCCACCACGGTGGTGGGAGAGAGACCCAAGACGCAGAGGTCTCCCGAGGGCTGCCCCGTTCCAGACACGGCGCTTCTCCCTTTCAGACAAGGCACCAGCACGCGGCCTGGCCCTGGGAGGGTTCAGGCTGTTTGAGGGCCACCCCGACTCCGCCCTCTAACCCCACTGCCCCCACGGAAGCTCGCTGGCCCTCTGCACCCGCCAGGTCGGCACCGTGTCCAGCGCTAGCACCGGCACACGCTGGCAAACCCTGGACGGGCAGGGCTCAGCGGCCTCGCAGCCCCCGCCGCACGGTCCTCCGGTCTCCGTAAGGCACCAAGCTCCGGAGGCAGGCATTCCGCGACCACCACCTGACTCGCCCCCTCCCGACCGCCCTGCTGGTACCGCTCACGGGAACCTTTTGATCAAGGCGCCAGATTCACCGCAATAGCTGACAAGTCGCGTCAGTCAAGGTTACCGGCAGCCACTAAAGTCAGAGCTAAATGGAGGGCGCAGTGTGACCCCTGGGCTGGTAACTCAAGGGCCTGAAAACCCCACAAAGCGCCTATTAAGTGGTTGTCCCCCGGTGGCAGCGTTATCCCGACATCTGAAGTCTCAGCCTCCCCCGCGACCGCACACGCCGACTTCCAGGCGTTGCTCTGCGCTCCCCAGCTCAGGGAGAGGCCCCGCCCTTCCTCGGGGCGGTCCCGGGGCCGCAGGGGCTTACGCGGAGGCCTCGTGCAGCTCCGTGCCGTCGTAGACGCCGCACCCAGACAGCACCTGCGGGAGGAGCGCGGTCACGGACGCCCGCCGCGAGGGCCCGACCTCGGGCGGCGGCCCGTCCCCGCGTCTGCCCTTGTCCGCTCACCAACGCGACCCTGGTCCCGGGGCGCGGCGCGGAGCCGTGGAGGGTGGCGCGCGGCGCGAGCGCGGAGGCCGCCAGCCTCGGCGCCAGCAGGGCCCGGACTGCTGCCATGGCCGTGCAGGGACAGCAGGTCGGAGGGTCACGCGGCGGCGCCTGCGCAGTCTCCTGCTTCCGCTCCCGCTCCCGGGTGCGGTCGGGAGCCTTGGCTCCGCGCTCCCGCTGTTTCCGCTGCCCGCGGCAGCAGGATCTACCGCGGTGCCAGCTCGGGCGGAGGCGCGGCAGCAGGTCCCGAGTACCCGGCTTTACCTCCGCTCCTGACGCAGCTCCATCGCACCGCCGGCCGGTGTCTGAGCGCGGCCGGGCCTGAGGAGGACCCCCCGCACCACCACCGCCCCCAGGGAGCTGACCCTGCCCAAGTTTCCCGCCAGATGCCGCTGCACCAGTTGCTTTGGGGCAAGATTGGCCACGGTGGTGACGTCCAGACGTTCCTTCTCTTCTGTGATCTCTTCTGTGGTGCATTACACCACTGCAAAAAGGGGGTGTTCTGATTCCTTCAGGTACTAGCTACGATCCTTCCATTTAAAAGAATCTAGTTATATAGAGATCTCTTCACATAGAAATGAGTGGATTAACGTTTTTTTCCTTTATTTACCACTTTTCAAGTGAACAACAGGTTTTGAAAATAATTCAAATGGCCTCCAGGGCCTGCAGACACACTGGACGTTTCAACCCAAAGCTGTCACTGTCATTCTTACTCACTGTCCCATTGTTGACTTTTACAAGTACTTTCATCAAGGACGTTCTCATGGAAACAACAAATGTGAGGTATTCTACAAGTTACAACCAAAGATGAGCCTGGAACATCCTACTGTCTTCATTCCTGAACTTCATCCCAACCCCTCCACTTTTTAGCCAGAAACTACTGGGAGGCAGCTGACCCTACCCTTACCTCCCCTCAGGGCCACATCCAGGACATTAGCTACACAGGGATGGGCTCATGCGGATGATGCTGAAACCTGCTCTATCGGAGAGAACTGCCCAAATGCACACTCTGTTTCAGCTGGGCTGGAAGCCAAGATCCTGCCTCTACCAAGCTCTTCCTGGGCACTGGCTGATGGTAAGCCATGAGCATAGAGGCATGGCCACCACCCTGGCCATGCTGTGCACACAGGGGACTTACCAAAGTGGGACCCTTCCAAAGGGGGGCTGTGGGCTGAGCAGCCCGCCCCCTCCTCCGTGTGGCTACTGCAGAGCTGGTGTGGCAGGTCTGAGTGAGCTTCCAGTCCAGCCTGGGGCTGCTGGGTGTGCTTCTACAAGGTCAGAGCCAAGCAAATGCTCCTGGCCCTAGCCCTGTACAGAGGGAGCCCTGCTCCCGTCCCACCATCATGGGGAGTGCTAGCAAGCTGGTGGCCCTGATCCCCACCACGTGATGATCATACTCAGGAGATACCATTAACGTTTTTATATCAGAGTTCAGACTTAATCTGTACTTATATCTTAGAAAACCCCATCTTTTTCACCTCCAATTTATCATCAAAAGTTCATATTAAAAATATGAATAACAATTACACCAAATTTGAGTCTATACACAGGCGCCCTTTGCTTCCCTAAAGGGTGCACTGAGGGCTCATTCATTCGCCTGAGTGCCTGAGGCTCCTGGCTGAGCGCCAAGCCTGTGCTGACTGGGATGTTAGCTCACTGCTTCCGTGCTTGCTTCTCACAGGAAGAGTAGGTCCTCGGCGAGTTTCTCTGACTCTCTGGATTGCCCTCCCACTCCTGGGGCCAGGCAGTGGAGGCTCCACTTCTCCGCGGGTCTTAACCCAAATGAACGTGGTTGCAAACATGGCCAGCTTTATGCCAGCAGCCCGTCCTGGTCCTGGTTCCCGTGTCCTCCCCCAAACAAGTGCAGACTGTCATCGTCGGACACGTCTACCTCCTCCTTGCTTGCCAGCTGTTCTGAGTGGCGTTTCATGCCCCGCTGCCTGGACACTGCGAGTGCGTACTGGATGTTGTAGCGGTTCCAGTCACAGCTGTTCAAGGTACATGGGATCAGGTTAGTAAAAGCAACAGGTTTTCCACACCATCAACTGGCACCCAGGCCACCCAGATCATAAAATAAGAGTATACAGCAAGGTTTGACTCCTTGATTTATGTTGCTTAGGGAGCATGGTACTGGTAAAGGTAGTCACATCTTGTTAGGGCTAGTGTTAGTGCCAGAATAGGTGCTATAATGAATATGGTGATTGAAGATGTAAGGGGTCTAGGGTCTAGAGTGGCTCTTTAGTAGAGTTTTACTGCATTGGCAACTGGCTGAAGTAGTCCATTAAGGTCCTACAATATTTGGACCTTTGCATAGTTGGTATACACTAGCACTTTACACTCTCTTAGTGTTAGAAAAGCTACAACTAGGAGAATAGGGACAATTATTGACACTATATTGACAATGTACATGTGTCACCTCTGTCACCTCGAGAAAAACCAGCCATAGACCCTGTGACCCACAACCTGCCCACCTTTGCTCTTCTCTTCCCTGGAGACCCAGGTCCTGCCCAGGCCAGCCTGAGTGGCGGAGGCCCTCAAGGACCCAACTGCGAGACCCCCCTCTGGTCTGTGCTCCCCACCCTTCTCTGGATGTGCCTGCCAGACACCCAAGGATCGGACCAGTGCAGAACATCACAGCTGTTGTATTTAGAGAGCAGAGGGCACTGAATTGGCTAATTTCCATGTGAGCAGAATAAGGAGAAATCACACCATCATTCCAGGGGAACAAAGCACCCAGTGTGGACAAGCTAAAAGGTGAGGACCAGAAGGAGCTGAAGCAGCACCACATCCGTGAGGCGGCATGACCGCTGTGCCGGAATCAGAAACCAGTCTAGATCCTCATCGCAGCCGGGCCTCGAATCGGTACATAAAGGCCAGCTGGACACCCGACACAGCCAAAAGTCAGCAGACACTCAAGTCCAGGGGACAGTGTTCTTGCATTATGCCAAACGAGGAGCAAATCTAATGGGGCACCTGGCCTCCTAGACGGAGCTCTGGAGCCACAGAGGCCTCAACAGAGGGAAGGCTGTCCCTAGCGGATGGCTATCAGCACAGCCCCTGGACCTTGGGCAGCCAGGGCACTCAGGAAGAAAAGCCTATCCTAGAGTTCTAAAGACTGAGGAGTCAGTCAAGGAAAGATGGGAGGACACGGGACCCCCAGGCCAGACAGAGGCCTCTGCGGGTGGACGCTGGGCAGACAGCAGGGCAGGGAGCAGACCTGCAGGAACACAGCCAGGTTCCAGGCAGCAATCCATACCCTGCTTTCTGCACACCAGTCAATAGTGGGGAGGAAAATCCCCAAGAGGCCAAGCTGGGAGGCCTTCCTGGCTGCATCTGGCCTCAGGAAAGGGGCAGAAAGTGCCTGAACCGTAAGAAACCACCTAGGCACATGGGGATGGAGGCTTCGGGCTGCACCGTGACGTGCCCACCTCCACTTTCTAATGCTAACTTCAGGCCTCGTCTGAGGTTGGCCCACCTTGGGGCAGCCCAAGGGGAGAGTTTACCGGCAATGAGGGAACAGCACCTCCAAACTGGCACAGAGAGCAGCCCTGCTGTGGAACCAGCTGATAGCAGCAGAACCCTCACCATGCCCACCGACCACACCGGTACACATACAGTTTGGAGATGTCGTCCAAGTGTCGCTGGACACTCTTCTGAAGGAACTGAACGACTGGCAGCAGCTTCCCCGCCCTGGGAAGGAGGCTTCTGTTAGTGCACAGCAGTCCCGGAACCGCCATCTGCCTCTCTCCACACCGTGTCTGCGTGTGAGGCCTCACGCTGTGGTCTACCCAGCAATGACCCCCTTCTACCTATGACCGGCTGATGGAGAGGCAGCACCGCAATGAAGGAGCCGGCAGGCATGACCCACCTGGACTTCAGCTTCTGACCATGTGCCATGAGCAGCTTCTGAGTCCATAGGAGGTAGAATTCTAGATGGCAAGACACTTCAAAGGACGAGGCTAAAAATTCGAGTACTTTCTCCACATACAACTCAGGAAGGGAGGAGCAGACAACTTCAACTGTAAGGAAAGGAGGAAAACCACACTCCCATCAGAAGAGATGACTGCAGTCTACACCTTCTCTGCCTTTGCAAAGAACCCGAAAGCCTGGCCCGGGTCCACACGCGGGTCCTCGTGGCCCCCCAGGCGCTCACTCTCATTCCAGGGCACCGACTCCAGGGCCTCCTGCAGCAGTTTCCTCTCATTGAGCCGGAAGGCCATGAGGACAGCCCTGGTGAAGTCGCGCTGGCGCAGCGCCGCCCGGATCTGCCTGGGGCTGATGCTGGTGTCCAGCTGGAATGGGTCAAAGAGCATCTGGGTGTCCAGGGAGTAGATGAGGAGCCCCTCGGTGGTGGTGGCTGCCCAGCAGCGCCCTGGGGATGAAGCGGTAGAGAGGCTTTCCATATACTTTCACGTTTCCCCATTTTCTAAAGAAAAGGTAGTAAGTACACCCCCAAGGTCTCAAATGCAACCGCACAACAGGCATGTGGGGACATCTTCCCCTTCCTCAGCCCCGGGCCGCCAGCTCCTCCCTGGAAGGAGCGCTGGGCCATTCCGTGGGAATCCCTCCAGGGCTACCGCGGGCTGTGAGCAGAAACACATGCGCCCTTCTTTCCCTTTTTGCATCAGTCCCAGCAAGCACTTCTGAAAAGGAGATCTTTCAGCTTTGCTGGGTGCACGTTCTCTACCACATCAACTCCACCACAGTGCCGGAGGAGCCCCCCAAGGCTTCAACATACAAGACGGGGCCCCCGATCTTGCCCGGGGGCCACAGCCTGCACCCGGCTCACCCAGTAAGGTGGTGCCACGTGCTCTGCACCCAGCTGCCTCTGTCCTCTGTCTGGCTGCAGCATCAGCTACCAACCCAAAGATAAGCCCACCGGAACTGTGCAGGCTGGCTCCGCAGGATGGCATTTCCCTAAAGCTCCAGGCCCTGAGGGCACAGGCCCTCCCCCAGGCCCCTCAGAAGGTCTGCTGGACACGCAGGGGCTGGGGCAGGGCAGGGCAGGGGAGCAGGGTGCTTGGTGGCAGATGGGGTCGTCCCCTGGGATGGCCCCAACGAGCACATGGGGTGCCTTCCCATCTGAAGGCCTCAGGTGTCTGAGGTGACAGCTCACTGCCATCCTCCGGAGGGGACAGAGACAACCACGCCTCACCCAGGCAGAACGGCAGGGCCTAGAGCCAGCCAGAAGCTCCGTCTGACCTTGTCCCAGGGTAGAAGTGACAGACCCACCGTGACCAGCCCCAAGCCCCACCAGCACCAACAACACCCTGCTCAGGACTCACCCGTGGGAGAGAAGCGGAGCGAAGTCACCCTGATTTCAGGTTTGAAGTGCCGAGAGCTCATGTCACCTGGAAAACAAAGGAGTTGCAGTCAGTTATGGGGCAG